CTGGATTCATGAATATTAATCAGGTTGTGTGCGTTCGCTCGAACTGATTTGCTGAAATCAAAACAGGGATGATAATAGGTGAGCGTCAGCCAATGAGATTGTCGCTTGTGCATTAGTTCCGCCCACTACCGGACGGAAAACCCGTTCTTAAAAGCTGAAGAATTCCAAAGGAACTGCGTTATTTTAACAGGAAAATACAACAAAGAATATCGTTTACATGTAGCGGGTCAATTCTGCATGGAATAAGTAAGATGGAGAGTAAGACTCTCTCGCTCGCTCGCTCTCACTTTGCGCGTGTGAGAGAAAGCGACGGCGAGTTGTGCGTCGTTTTACACTAGAGTTCACGGTACGTCAAATACAGGTGCGCTGCCTATCCATTCAGATGAACTGAAAAAAAGCACAGATCGCTTGACGGAGAGTGAAACTCTGAAGCGCTCAGTCAGTGTGTTCGACGAGTGAAAATATATCTGAGCTAAACTTATACTTAGCCTCCAACTCACACACTGGCGAGTAAAATCTGAGAATTTATTAGCCATTGGCTAATATTAGACATCATTTAGTCGCCCAGAGTGAAGATTTAGTCGCATATGCGAGTGATTTACTCGCAATGTAGAGGGTTGCCAGCGAACGATAACGTCTGTTTATTCTAAGTGCACGCTCGTCTGTCTCTTTAAATTCTCGAGCTCGTTATAGCAGGATGGATTCTGATTGGCTGTCAATTTTTTATCGTTCATCAGCTGGAAAAAAATAGTTTTGAAAGTGATTCCAACTATATAGTTTCTCTTTGTCTTTATCGTTATAGTTGTGGTGTGGACTTCTTTAATATTGAGAACGATTTTTAGAACTATATCTTTATCGTTATCTTTATAGTTATCGTCCTTGGTGTGAACGGGCCTTAACACCTAATGGTGCGAAATAGAATCGGGGTGTGTTGCAGGCGAGACTCAAACCTACATAATCCATTTGATTGTTATGGCTCTATTGAGTGTTATGGAACATGTCAAGTACACAAACGCTGGCACCAAACCTTTGTCTCCCCTTGCTTTTCTTCCTGGTTCCTTCCCTCATCCTCTTTTGTGTCACTTCTCTTCCATCACCTTTTTATTAGTTGTTATTTCAGCCCCGTTATTGGTGGTTCTGTCTTTATCCACTTGCCATGTCTCATCGAGCTTCATGATGGCTGATTATCCAGTATTAGAAGTAGCTGTAGGACCTGCAGCCAGTAAACTTGTGCTTCAGCAATAAGTCTGTTAATACACCATAATGAATAGATAACACGCAATGATGAATCCCGTCTCACCTGGTGTTTGTGCTGAGCAGGTGATGGTTGCTGAAGCTCTGGATATCTCCAGGGAAACATATTTCGCCATCCTGATGGACCGTTCCTGTAATGGACCCGTGATGGTGGGCAGTCCTCAGGGGGGTGTGGACATAGAGGAAGTGGCTGCCACCACGCCAGAGCTCATCTTCAAGGTATCTCAGTTGTATCTGATTGAAAAGGTGTAGGAGTGAGTTACTTTGTGATTTTCTGTTAAAGAGGTCTTTTTTTTTTTTTTTATGTTTTGAAATAAACTTGCAATAAATATAAGAAATATAAGTTGTTACAAACAAAATATAGAAGCAGAAGTATTTATTTATTTATTTATAGAACAGTTTAAAAAGTGAGCATTTTAAAATGGTTAAATTGGGATGGAAAATGTATGGAAATGCCATATATTAAAAGTTGTAGTAATGTCAATAATAAATATCTCTGATGTAGGTTAAGATTTTTGTATTGTCTCCCATGGGATAAATTTTCTTGGATTAGAGACCTGCTGCATCACCAAACAAACCTAGACAGTACATTTAAATACATAATAATATCCAACACATTACAATACCTTTTCCAGAAAGTACTAAACAATTCATACACAGATAATCACAATGTCAAACTTCCCCAGTTTTGAAGCAAAATGAATTGACATACATACTGTAAAGCTAGATTCTTCACTAAGCTGCATTTTAATCGCAGGTTTTTTTTTTTTTTTTGGGTTTGTTTGTTTGTTTTTTGGAGAATTTTATAGACAAATACAGAGTTTAAATGCCTTTAAATCTCTATGAAAATTATTACAAATAATACATTTGAAAATGTAGCAATTATTAACCGCTAAAAATTTTTTTTTGGGGGGGGGGCATAATAGCCTTGTCCACCATTATATTTATATATATATATATATATATAAAATTATGATATGACTCCTTTAATAGACTTTTTTTTTTACAGATAAACTCATATTAAGACGTGTAACAGCTGCTTCTCATTCTTGTAGCTCTTTGTGGTGTCTGGTTTTATGCATTCTCTCTTGTGTGTGTCTATCTCTGTATATGAGTGATCTTTTAGAGATGGCCTTATAATTGCAAAGCCATTGTTCTCCAGCTCTCGTCTTTTTCTCGTTTCAGTTTGGCTGCGTGCCAGCGCTTAATTGCAGCTCTCTTGATTTTAATACGAACATCCGCTTTGTGTCAAATTTTAGCTGATGGTTGGTTTTCTCTTGCTTTCTCTCTCCCATCTCTTGCCTCAGGAAGTCATAGATATTTTCGAGGGGGTCCGAGACGACCAGGCACTACGTATGGCAGCTAATTTGGGATTCAAAGGACCGTTGGAGAGACAGGTAATGGGTTTGGACTGAATCGCTGCCAAAGAGATTGTGCCATTAGAGTGTGTGTCATTAAGCACAGCGGCCCCCACCTTACATCACCTCCCCCAACCGTCCGCTATGTCTCCATTTTCGCTCATGGAAAAAGCGAGAGTAATGGACATGATGACTCTGCCAATACAGTCATTAAACATTTCTTGTACGTGTTTAGGCCTCAGCAGACATCACAGTTCGTGCTGGTACATCGTTCACATAAACTGCCACCTATAAACAGGTCACAGATTTGCTGTGACTACCTTCGCCGTAAACGATAAGCACGAGTTTAAATCTCTAAGATTTAATGACATTTATACCAAGGCCTCGTACAAGGGTCTGTGAGTGACTCCTGTTTCCTGATTTTCACAAAATGTGCGTTTTTCCTATTGATAAATCTAGCATTCAGATAACTGTACAAATATTTATGGACACTTAACATTTACCTATTGCTCTGGGAATTTAGGAGGGAATTTAAGAGCATGAAAATCTATGGAATTGTTTCGGGAAAAAAATATGAAAATTATATATTACAAAGTACTGTATAAATCATTATCTAATTTTCCATACGTGTTACAAAAGTATGAATTACAAAATGTAAGTATTACCAATGTACGAAATATGAAAGCATTACAAAATCTACTAAATTGTTCCAGAAGGTCAAAATATTAAAATTTTATGTTACAACGTGTGAAATCATTATGAAATCATAAAATATATTACAATATACAGAAGTATTACAAACGCATGAAATATATGGAGATATAGGAAATCTACAAAATGTTAATGAAAGACAAATGTTTTTCCTCATCTATCAAGAGGTTTTGCGAGAATACAAAATATGACTGTATTACAAAAATCTTTCACAAAAGTGTTGCAAAACTATGAAATACTAAAGTATCAAAAATTCTATAAAAGTATTACAAGAAGACAAGAAGTATTATACATTTTTACAGAAAGTTAAAATATGATTGCATGTTAACAATAGTGCTGTTAAACGATTAATCATTATTAATCACATCCAAAATAAACGTTTTTGTTTACATAATATATATGTGTGTATTTTATATATTTATTACATATATATATATATATATATATATAAGATCATAACGATTCATTTATTTTTGAAAACTGTTAAAACTGTTATTTATATTTATATTTTTTTTGTATAAAAGTCATCATTATTAGTCAACCACAGATTTAAAAAAAAGTGATTTAAACAACAACAACAACAAAAAAGCCTTACAAAGAAATAGACTTGAAAATATTGCAGAAATGTATTTTGCAAAATCTAATTTTATTAAAACTCAGAATTGTTACAGTATCTTAAAATGTGTTACAAAGTACTGTATAAATCATTATGTAATCTTCCATAAAAGTGTTGCAAAATTATGATATATTCAAACTTTACAAAAGTATTACAAACATGAAATATGATGGCATTGCAAAATTTAGTTAGGAAAGCCAAAATGCTTTAATTTTGTTACCAAGTGTAAAAGCATTATGAAATCTTAATTCAATTCTATAAAATAATATTATAATGCACTGAAGTATTACAAACAGGACATACAAAAAATATTAGGAAATCAACAAATTGGTTACTAAAAGGCAAAATACAAAACTATTAAATCATGAAAGTTTTATGAAATGTGAAACGCACAAAGAGTATCGAAGTACTAAAAAAGTATGAAATGTGAACACGTTTACAAAATTGTTACAGAAAGTCAAAATATAAAAATTGTTTGCTTGCTAGGTATGAAGTGATCCATGAAAGTGTTACAAAAATTTGAAATATGATTTTTCTTAAATATATACATGCATTTGTGTGTATTTATATATATATATACATAACAAATATACACAGTAAACACACATATATTATGTGAATAAAAACTTTTATTTTGGATGTGATTAATCATAATTAATCGTTTGACAGCACTTGTTAAAAAGAATGAAATGAAATGATTCATAAGTGTTATGAAAGTCTGAAATATTTGTTCAGATGTGAATTGAGATTACAATATGATTTACCAATTATTTTCAGATCCATCTGTTGATTTTATATATAAACACTGTTTACAAAAAAGTAGGGGGGCATCTATGAAACCTCTTAAAAAAGGCATATGTGTAATATTAACCTCATCTCCCTTCAGGACATATAGAGGAAATATTCCTATTAAAACTAATGGCAGGTAAAGTTTGTAAAGAATCAGTGTTTTCCAACCTTACATTTAGAGCTGTTTAAAGGAATCTGTAGTAGTTCATGTCATAATTAAATCATGTTAACTTATAGAATCTCTCAACATTGTTTATCTGTGTGTACAAGTGTATGATTTTGTTGGAGACATTGGAGAAGCTTGGCATTATGGAAATTACTGATAAATGTCTGGCTTGTCAGTTTGGCTCTTCTAAAGTCATCCTTTTACAGCGCATCTTTTGCGAGCATCTATTTGAGTCAATGCTAATTAGAATGTTTGGGATGCAGTATACCGTTAACTCAGCTTCACCACTTTGAAGTGCAGCGGTATGACAAAGAGCCGGCGCTCGCCTGTGCGTGCTGATGAGAGCAGCGCTACGATGTTTTCTGTCAGCATGCGCTCATTATCAAAAGCACTTCCGTTGGCTATGGGAAAGGGAGATGTCATTTTAGCTCTTAAGCGCTTTGAAAGTAGAATTTGTTAGGATGACATGCTTTCAGCAAGCACATGAAAAAGCAAAGTGTAGAGCAATAAGCAGTCGGTTATCTTTCCTGTCTTAACCTCTCGTCAAACCTTAGCTGTGGTAAACTGATGCAGATGCTGCCTTTAGTAATGAAATGAATGAACAAAAACAAATTGATCTGTGGACGATTTACACATAATAACATTTACCTTTTACTTTTTATATTTTGAGGAATTTCTGTGATTATGAGCATGAATTTTATTTTGTCAAAAAGGATCCATACCCTCGTTTTTGCACAGAAGACTTAGAGGCACAGTAGGCAAAATTATGTATACATGCATATATATATATATATATAAATATGATGGCATTGCAAAATTTAGTTAGGAAAGCCAAAATGCTTTAATTTTGTTACCAAGTGTAAAAGCATTATGAAATCTTAATTCAATTCTATAAAATAATATTATAATGCACTGAAGTATTACAAACAGGACATACAAAAAATATTAGGAAATCAACAAATTGGTTACTAAAAGGCAAAATACAAAACTATTAAATCATGAAAGTTTTATGAAATGTGAAACGCACAAAGAGTATCGAAGTACTAAAAAAGTATGAAATGTGAACACGTTTACAAAATTGTTACAGAAAGTCAAAATATAAAAATTGTTTGCTTGCTAGGTATGAAGTGATCCATGAAAGTGTTACAAAAATTTGAAATATGACAGTATTGTAACTAAAAGACAAAGTAGTATGAAATTACAAAAGCATGAAGTATTAGGAAATCTTTGCAGAACAGATTAAAAAAAATAAAACTAAAAAAAATTGTCTTTCATGGAAATATGAATTATTCTAAAATATTTCGCAACAATGTTACAGAAGTATAAAATTATCACATAAAAGTATCACAAACTTATGAAATATAAAATTATTGTAAAATGTACAAAAAGGATGAAATATTAAAATATTCAATAAAATTACATTTCAAATATTTCAATATCACAAAATTATTAAATGCAAAAATCTGATTAAATCTTCCATGGATGTATGAAAAGTTAAAGAACCTATGGATTAAAAAAAAAAAAAAACATATATATATATATATATATATATAATAAAATATATACACCACCA